GGGTTTTTTGCTGGTGTTGAAGAAGGATTTTCATCCTCCTTAGCAACTGCTTTAGGGCATTCTGCCTGGTAACCTCCAAAAAGGAAACTTTCGTGTCCTGCAAAGTACTCTATCTATTCAAGGGCTATAAACAGCCATTGTAGCACGTTCCTATGAATTTTCTCCCTATGCTGGATCCCTTAATTGCCACTAGTGGATTATCTACAACTTTGCCAAGACAAGAACATGAGTTTTCATATTTTGCCTCTTCTTATCAAGTGATATCTGCATGTGAGGCATCTAAAAAACTAAAGACCTGTTTTATAATAAAAATCTGAAAGTCCTTTGCATGTTTTTCAGCAAAGATTTGGGTGAAAGTTGGAGGGATTTGGTGAATATTAAAGAATTTCTGTTATTCTTGCAGCAATCGGCAAGACGTGTAGCCCAGAAGGAAATGTTATCTGCTACCAAATGCATGAGCAGAATGCTTTCACCTCAGGCCATTGGGGTCAGGCCCTTCACAGAGTGACTGAGGGGCAGAACCGAGACCTGGACCTGAGGTTCTGGCCTACTCCTGTTGACCACAACACAGACCTCAGAGCTAAAGGCTTCAGCAGACGGATAATCAGGTATGAGACACACACATGCACATGAAGGGGTAGATTTCTGCTTTGTAGAGAGTTATGTAGGTTTGGTTTTTCAGTTACTTTCCATACATGAGCACAAACAGGGAGTGGTATGGCCATATCAATGCTGCTAACCCAACTGGCTTCTGAAGCCATTTATTTGGCTCAGGGTCACAAACACATTCCTCAGCCCTCCCTGGAGACTGACAGAGAAGAGGGAGGGAAAGAAAATCTCTCTTTAGCTAATCCTGCTCTGCCTCCTGTTCTCTAGGGATATAAGATGAAGCAAAGCTCATTTCCCTCCGAACGCTCCATGTTTTGCTGCCTACAAGTGCTGAATGTGGCTTTGATCTGGAGATGTCCCCTCCACACCCTGCATCCATTTGGCTCACCCAAATGCTGTAGAGATTCTTTCCCCCACTGCTGGTCACGGTGACCAGAGTTATGGTAAATAACAGTAATTTTTGGGGAGAGAGTAGACACTGAGATCTGAGCCCATGTATTTAAGCCTCAAAGCTAGGAACTACAATATTTTAAGACCGGGGAAAAGCACACATATACAATGCTCTGTTTCTGCCTTGAACATACCCTAACACCCTAGGTGATGTTGTTGAATCAGACAGAAGCAACCACCCATGGAACGCAGAGGCATCACCTTCAACAGTAGAAAGTGGGATTTACCAAGCTCTGGGCCAACAAAATAAAATCCATGATTTTCCATGAGCTGCAGCCACCGTTTTCATAGCACGAGGTGCTAAGCATCCTCATTTGCCCTGTTTTTTAGCATCAGTCGGAGGTTCATATTCATGCAACACTTCACCCATCTCTAATCTACCCCAAAAGTACTTACAGGGAGGTCTCGGTAGTCCCAATAGCTGTGTCACGCCGTAGACAGCCCCAGTGGGAAATCTGTGTGAGGGTCTCGGCCGGGCAGCCCTTGGAGTATCCTATGAGGAGCCCTGCTCCACTCCCCACACCCCCCCGTCCTATTCACTGCCTCCCAGTGGTCTCTGGCAGCTGGTTTTATCGCCGAGCACTGGGCTATGTTGAGAGGATGAACCACTTGATCTATTTTTAGGGAAGAGTGAAATTGCTCTTCCACCAGGCTGAGTCAATCATGAGTTTTAGCAATCCTACACGGAGGCTGGGAAAGTCTGGGGGCCTGGCTTATTTTCAGAATTTATTCATTCAAAATACCCCTGGTGTAATCCAGTACAGGACAGGGGATGCTTCCAGGCAGTGGTGCCATGGGGAAGAGGCATTTCCCTGACTCACTCTCATGTTCTCAGGCTGTGATTTACACAGCCAGCCCCCCTTTGCCTCTGGCCACAGCCAAAGCTTTAAGGAAAAAGCTGCAAAGGTGACAGGTATTAGCTATGTTTTCTGGTTCCCTATTTCCTCATCAGTTCAGCATTTTAGAACCAAGAAAGAAAAATAAATATTTTTGGAAAGCGAGGGGAAGTGTGTACACCAAGAAGATGATGGAGCTATCTGGGAATCACCCCCCTCCTTGCAGCCCCTCTGTTAGCAATGGGGTGCTGCAGGTGGCTGCTCTGGGCAGGGTTTGGAGGGGGATAACGATAAGAGACTCAGCCCTGGAGAGCTCTCCATGACCTCAAAGCTCAGCTGCACAACGGGTGCTATTTTTAGCATATTAATGGTGGGTACAACTGTGTGTCAGAGCTGAGGACCCTGGCCTGGCCTTGCTGATTTACAAATACAAACATAACCAATGACTCTGGGGCTTATTTTAACAGTCCACTTTTACCAGGGTGGGATAGTGATACGGCTGAGGAACCCAGTAATGTTTGAATTGGGTCCAACTGCTCTCTCTTTGGTTTATTTTTCTGACACCTTTAGGGAGCATAGACATGAGTAAATCACCACATGGCGATGAAAGGAGATGTAGGTTGGCTATGCCAGTACCCAAAGTCACCATCACCTGAGATAGAACACTCACTCAGAGGTGCTTAGGATCAAAAAACACCGTCTGAAGGCCACAGGGGACCCATGCTCAGTCCCACCCTGCTTGTACCCTCCCAGGCCATGCCATGGCTGACAGCCCCCAGTGCCAGACGACATGGGACTGCAGCAATGGGGGAGAGAGTTGCATGAATGTGAGCTGTGCTGGACCAGTTGGTCTTGGGGCAAAAATTGTATGTATCTGCCAGCAGAGAGCTGTCTTAACCTGTCTCTGTGGTGTGTTTGTACAGTGTGTGACACAGGTACACCCCCGTTTCAGTGGGGATCGTTGGTCACGTAAGGATTTCAGCAGCGTCATGCTGAGTAGGTGAAGCATGACCCCGGTCCCCAGAGGGGCTCCATGCTCTTTCCTCCACAAGACCAAGCAACTGATGATTTTCTGATTTGAGATGATTAAGTTTTTTGGTTCCCTCCTCCTGAACACATTTTCTAGAATTTTACAGGGGTGTTTGGAGGGGCTGTTGCCCGTCCTTTCCCTATGTGTCTGCAGGTATCAGTCCCTGGAGAGGCTGCTACACATCAACCAGGCTGCAGTTCAGAATGCAATGAGGTTTCCTTGCCAACATCACATCATGTCTAGGTCTAGATGACCATCTGCTTTCACTGAGGCTCCTGGAAGAGACTGGATCCTCCCTATCATAGCCCAGTTTCTTTAAGCATCCTGAAGGCTACGAATTAGCAGTCCCCTCTGTGTTAAACCCAGTGCCTAGGAAGATCATCATCCCTCCTTCTGAAGTGGTCTCCTTGTTTTTTGTTGTTTCCTTCAATAAATGAGGATCAGAGAAAAGAGCTAAATTAGAATGAGATGAAATTTAACCATCTGGGGTAGGGGGGAAATACCCCAGACCTTTGTCACTGCTGTGTGCTGAGGAGACCATATGCTGGTGAGTGATGGCTGCAAACGAAGCAGCAATAAGCAGATGAAGCGGCGCACACCGAAGAGGTCTGTGCGGAGTTTACCCAGCAATGCAGAGCAGGGAAGCAAGGAATGTCATTAGGAGGGTGGTAGACAGGTCTTTGATCACCAGTCAGGGCTGGGGATGGCAGGGGCTGCCAGCAAACATGCACCCGCTCAGGTAGCATGAACTGGGTGACAGGGGTGACAGCAAGCACAGTGGCAGCCTGGCGATGGATGTGTCTTAATTATCCCGTATGGGTGGCGGGACATAAAGGTAGAAGGTGGAGGGCAGAGCCTATCGGCACAGTCAGCAGCTCACAATGGGGATGTGTGTGTGCCCTTGTGGTGTGGATGGGCACAGAAAAAAAACACACAGGGGGCATGCATATATTTACTCGGAGATCTCTCTTCGTCTGCAACATATATTTCTATGATTCTATATATTTGTGTCAGTCTGTCTGTCTAGCTGCAACATCCAACACAAGTAGGCAGGGAGAGTGGACTGTGTGGATGCATGGTTGTCTGTTCATTGCCCTGCCATCTCTCTCTCTGTGCCTAGGTGGGGGACCTGGTCTGCTACGGGTTGTGATTTCCACGTGTGTCCCCCTTCAACTGTGCTCCTTCAAACAGCCCCTGCGAGCACTCTCCTGCAAGCCTGTGAGATCTGAGCTACCTGACAGCTCTGCACAGCTCCCAAGGAAGGGTTTCTCTCCTCCTGTCTGGAAGATAGCAACTAATGAGAAAGCAAGAAATGAAAAAAAGAAAAAAGAGTGATCAGTGTAGTACTGGGCCTTTCTGAGAGGTGCTGAGAGTGCAACCGGGGGAGATCAGCAGTTTAGGATTGTGGGGGGTCTGGAGCCCAGGGCAGCCCTGAACCCTTGACTGAGATGGGGTGGCTCTTGCTGGGACCCAAGAGAAGAGGGCAGCAGGGGCTCAGCAGGGTGAAGGCTTAGAGGTTAGATCAGGTGCGAGCACAGACTAGGGCTTGCAGGACAAGCCAACTAGATGGGACTAGGCTGTCTTGATCACTGCTGCCAGAGCTTGGCCAGGCATGAGCAGAGGGTCATCACTCCCCTGCCCTCCACAGCTGCCTGGGTACCACTGCATGCTCCCACAGCAGCCCTGCAAAAAGGTGTCTGTGATCCCAGTATCCCTGTCTGGCTGTCACAGGGTCTGGGAGAGATGAAAGGAGATGGATGACACCTGATTCTGCCCCCTTTTTTTCTGGGGTGCTCTAGCCAGGGGGGCAGGTGGATCCTATGGTTAAATACCCCAAGTTTCCCTCCTGGCAGAGGCACAGAAGCACAGAGTGCTTAGAGCTGGGCAGATTGGCCACTTACAAGAGTCTCGACATTCAACTCCTACTTGTCATGCTTATGAAAAGAAACTGCTGAAAGGGAAATATGCTTTTAAAGTGTTATTTTGACTGCAGGAGCCTCTATCATTGCAAGTGTCAGAGCTGCCTTGAACTCCGAGCTGTCTGTAGCACAAGCACAGCCTTTTATCTTAAATCAGCATTTTTTCTCTGCCTTTCAGATCTTTCCAGTTCACTAGTCATGTTCTCCCAAACCGGTGTGCTGAACAGTGTTCTACGGGAGGGGGTATGCTGGCTGCAAGGTTCCAAATCATGGAAGGATGGAGGGTGACAGCCTCCCTCCACTGTTGGATCTGAGACATGGTGTCCAGTGGCTGCCGTGCAACAGTATCCATGGGGAGTCCAATTTTGGGACTGAAGTGGGATGTTTTTATTGTCACTAGATGGCAGCGCACCTCCTTGCAAGAGAAAGTGTGGGTGCTACAGCGAACAGAGGGAAAATCATCCTCTGCCAAGCAAGGGTTGTGACCAAACCTGGGTCTCCCTGCACGTAGGATAGGGCAGCCCACTGTTTTCTGCCCTCTCCTTCACCTCCTCTCCTTGCTTTGAAAATTCCCAGTGGATAGAGGTCGCAACAAATACAGAATAGAAAGGGGGAGGGTGAGACGGGAATTAAATGCATTTTGGAGGCTGTCTGGTTGCTCTGTAATTTGCAGTCACATCAGGCTCCCGTTTCATCTTTGCTGTGCACCGAGGTAACATCCTCGCGTGCCCTTCAGCTGAAAGCACTGAATAATGGAGCTATATTAATACATACATGCACAAGCATATGTATGTGTGTGAGCTGGGGGAACGGCATGCCCGCCTGATTGCCCTTCTTTTCTCTTTCTTGGCCATGATTTTCCTCTCTCACATTGCCAGAATTCATCTAGAAGTCGTTAATATTTAAACCCAGAGTACTCAGGAGACTCTACCTGCAGCAAAATAGCTTCTCCTCTTTAATATTAAAGGACTCAAGCTTTCCACCATTTGCCTCCGGGAAAAATGGTTCCTTGAATTACCATCTTCCTTCCTAGGAAGTATTCTGTTCTATCGTTTAAGTCTTCCACTGCTTAGTTTAATCTCATTACTGCTAACTATAGCCACTTGGACCTCTTTAATTAGGGACTTGGTGACGTCTTTGGTGGCAGCTTCCTCCGGATCATCTGATATTGTCATTGTGGCTGGGGATGTAGCCCAGCTGGTTTAGCTACCTGGGAATAGGCTTTTCTAAGGGCTGTAGCAGCAGCCTTCCCCTTTGAGCAATGCTCAGGACTCCAGCAGTGACCCAGAGGTCTTTATGCCATGTCTGGAAGCAGGTAACAGCAACCAGCTTTGACTTCATGTGTAGCTATTCAGCTCTGACCTGTTGCATAGTCATGTGTTGGCTGATAAGCTAAAAGCCAGTCAGCAGAGCTGTCCGGAACACTGCCAAGCTGTTGTCCTCCGTATCACAACATCCCAGACCTGAGAACTGTGCTCTGTGCATAACCTTACAACATTGTGTGGCTTGAAAACACTCAATGCTCTGCTTTCCCCATCCCAGGTCAGTGTCTCGGCTGGATGTGCCCCCCCTCAGCCCTGGGGAAGATCTGTGGGGCAGTCCCGGGGTGCTGATTAGGAGGCTGCTGCAGGAGACCTGCCCTGGTCGCTGCTGGGGCACGTGGAGCACTGAGGTCTCTCTCGCTCCATGGGAATGACCAAGCACAGCACAGGTATAATCCTGGACATGTCTTGCCCCAGAGGAGATATAGGACAGCTGGGTCCTGACA